CACACACAGACACACACACACACTTTTCAGTCTACAGCCTTTCAGTATACCATCAGTGTATACCAGTCTATGCTCGGTGCTCATACGTTTGCAAGAAACATGAACATCATTCAGTTGAGAAAACATGACAAACTAACAAAAGGTGTTGTGCAATGTAATGGAGTTTTTTTACACACCAGTTTGATGTTTTTTAAAAGATTTGTTTTATAAGTCTGAAAAACTAAATAAAAACAAATCCTTGTTTGGCTCGCCATTAGCCTAGCCTAGAAAAAACGCCTGCCTTTTTCTCCACACTATGTGCTCTGTGAGTGATGTCACACTGGTTAGATACTAACTATAAATTTTTGACAGAACGCCACAGTTTCAGTGATTCAACAGTTTTGAAAACTTGCAGCGGTCATTGCCAGTCATAAAACTCATTCTATGCTCTGTGATACAGCTGAATGTGGTATTTAGGGTCACGCTCTGACATGGACACCTGTCTTMCACTTGTCTCGTTTCCATTGTATTTTATCTCATTTCTCCATCCCCTGTGTGCACACTGCAGGGTAGAGGTAGAGGTGATGGTGGAGCCCAGATGCAGCCACTGTGGACCAGGGGTGATTGGCTTGTCCCCTGATCCCCAAGAAGAGACCCTCTCTCTGGTAAAAAGRGAAGAGGCCCACTCCTTGGATCCCCTCCAATCCCAGGATCCCCAATCACTTTACCGAGACATCTGGACGCTACGTGCAACACTTGAACAGTCCGCAGCTTCTGACCAGAGCAGCAACAATGACAGGAACTCAGCGTGCAGTGATGCTGACAGTGTGTGTTCGCTGGGCGGACGCACCGAGATGGAAAGAGGGGGGCTTCCCAGCTTCCCGTCCCAGGAMTTGGGGGACGAGGCGGAGGGTGGAGAGGATGAAAAGGACCTCTTTGGGCAAATGGAAGAGAAGTTGGGGGTACAAGACTCAGGAAAGAGAAAACATGGCAGCTCAGAATCAGAGATTCGGGGAAGCGATGGAGAATCAGGGACTCGTAAGCTATTGCAGATGGACAGTGGCTACGCATCAATAGAAGCTCCATCTCGAGGTTCAGACGACGTGCGACTGTTTGGAAGCGGCAGCATCTCAGGAAGCCCCAAGGACAGAACTGCCCATGAGAGAAGGCATCATTTCACAAATGCAGGGAGAACTGGCACGATCGGAGAGAGCTTTGAGTCTCATCTCACTGAAGAAGAGCCTGATGATGGGCTGTTGCTGGGTGCCAGTGGAGGGGTTTCCATCGAAGCGAGTGCCAGCTCACTGAACTGGTTGCCTTATGGTCAGTTGCTCATGCCTCGAGAGGCTGCACAGCCTCCGCCTCAACCACTGACTCTGCACCGGAGGGACTACAGCATAGATGAGAAGACAGATGCACTCTTTCACGAGTTTCTCCGCCACGACCCTCAGTTTGACCAGCAGGAGTCTCAGAGYAAGCACCGGTCCCGAATCCACCTGCGTAAGCAGTGGCAGCGCCACAAGCAGTGGAGCGACCCTGGAGTCAGGCATTTCCAGTCCTCCTCTGAGAGACAACGGACCCCACTGCGGAGGGGGGACAGTGTGAACTACCCCCTGGACACAAGCTACCACAGTATTCTGCCYCGGATTGTTAGTGCTCCTGATGAGGAGACCAGCGATGGGACCGGCAGCACTCCTGAAATGCCAAAAGTAGAACCAGCCACTTTGGACACTGGAGACAAGTACAAAAAACTTAGTGTTGCTGTGARGGACTCCGAGGACCTCACATCCTCTTGTCTTCCACTTCAACCTTCCATCTCGGAAAAAGATGGTGGGCCGGCTGAGCACCCTCCCGAACCTCCAGATGAGCGCTCGCCCCCTCAGCTGCCCGATTCCTCGAGCTACGGCCCACAGACTATCACAGCAGAGCTCACAGACAAACTGACTGCCAACCTGGACGAGAGGCTGTATACAGGCCTTCGCCGGGCCAGGGACACAACCACCGAGTATGTGACGGTGACAGCCACATTGCACGCTTCTCCAGACCACAGCCCAGTGTAGCAGGGCTACAGTCATCAGCTTTAACTGCATCACTTAGGTTTTAACTTCTTTGTAATATTTTTAGGTCCAGCTTGAATAGTGAYGTTTAGACCAGTGCAAGATCTTCAGATAAATCTAAAATCAACCCAACCAGATAAAATACTAACCATGCAAATGTTCATTAATGAAGTAAAACAAGGTTACCGTATAAAAACATGTTTCTTTTAAATAACTGTATCTCCTCTTTATCCCATTTCTGTATCCAGTTTTTGTCTCGGCTCCTCTCTAATAATTTATCACCTTCTTTTCTCACTAATCCACTGTGAAACCAGGTGCTATTAGACACGTGGAGAGCTACTGAACTTAGCTGTCAGTGTTGTGATCTTACAGCATTTAGTCAATTGTTTTATTATGTTCATGAGTATGGGTATTTATTATGGGGGCTGGGGTAGATTAGTGGTTAGTGATGCAGTCTCGTACTCTTGAGGCTGATGGTTCGAGCCCATGTTGTGTCAGAACCGACAACCGGCGTAAAACAGTCACATTTTTCATGTGATTTTGCTCTCAGTGGCAACRATTTTAGAAGGGAGCAGCTGAAAGAAAAACAATGACATGAGAACTGGGATTTACCCAAATCTTTACGTTGGTGTGTTCCAGGTTAATCCAAAACTTCCAGGAAATGGATGAGTCCGGCTCAGATTCTTATTTTATTTTTGATTTTTTTGTCCTAATGGCAGGGKGTGAGTCAGAATGTCTAAATGTGCAGGAACATTTGAAGGATTGCCATTTTGTGAAAGTAAATGAGATGTATTTTTTCCACAGGTGTGTAACCTGTTATCTGAAAAGTTTTGAACTGGAAAGGGTTTTCAACTACTTTTTACTTATRTGATGAGAAGTAATGTATATTTTTATACGTCTTCACTGCTTTAAATGACAATGAAAACTGACAGCAGGTTTAAAGGTATAGTTCAGACCTTTGAAAGTTCTGTAGGAAGGTTAAGAACAATTAATATCCTCAGGTCAGGTCTTAGTCTGGAGAAATAGAAATCTTTATGATTGGATTGACAAGCCCAACCAAGGTCAAAGTGAACTGTTACCATTGTAAAACAAATTATACTTAAAATTTCATAGCAATTAAGGTYAATCCTGGGGGTGACCCAGACTGTACAGAGGATGCTACAGCTAGCTGCTGCTGCCTTCATTTTCACATGCAAATAATCATGTATTCACTTTAGTCTTGGTCTCTGTGCAACTAGCCTTTAGCTTGTCAYTCGGATCAGAATTAAACTTTATTCTTCCAAGTCATTCAAACAGGTAGGATKATAATTGTTCACAGGTGTTCCTCATAAAAGAAACTTCTAATTTATAGTTTCAAGAGAGAACAGGTTTGGCAGTGCAACACTGAAAATTTAAACCAGCCTTTTGGTTTGAGAAAACCAGATCAGTCAAAAATAAATCGGTAGTTTTCGACTCAAACTCTCAGCACAATTCAACACAACAGACTACTTAGTTTCCAGGTTTACAGTCATGAAAATGGCAGTTGTACTACTGAACATGATGGACTTTTACAGACTATTAAAGGGTGGGGTATTCGGTATTTTTTCCAGACACATAGTTCAATTCTGTATCACAATCAACTATGTTACCTTCGTTTGTCAAAGTGTATATATGACAAAATCTGAGTTTGCATCAGACACCTTGAAATTGGCCTCTGTCTCTTTAAGAACCTCCWACCGTTTCTGACACTCCAACTTCAGCGTGTCCTTTTAGCTATAATTCATATCAGTTACAACCTTTTGTAGGAGAAAGGTCCAACCATTTTTGACGAACAGGAATTGTAAAAAAGAGGATTTTGCATCCAAAAATACATTTCCTTGATTYTGGCATTTTTAAATCTGAAAACGACTGAACTGAGAAGTAGTTAGTATTACAAGCCCGACAGATGTGCAGTTCCACCAGGTGTTTGCTACTRGTTGCTGCCGCGGAGCTGTGGGGGAGGCGTGAGGGAGGGGAGGAGCTTRGGGTAAATAGGTGGTGCTTTGTACCAGCAAGCATTTGGGCAGCTCCACATGACCACYGGAGACTCAAGGATTTCTCAAACATGCTTGAATGAGTTTAAGCAACACCCTGGGTGTGTTTTTGATGAGGGAATGACATTATAACYTAATATAAATCTCAAAGTAGRTGGTTTTGAATAATACCCCTGRCCCCTTAAGAGACACKGTTTWATAACGCTGTTCTCATTTTCCCTTTGTTTTCTCTTGTAATGCTCAGAAGACTAAAAAGTGTCACTTCCTGTCTTTTTATAAAACAGAACAAAAAGTACATTTTATTTATTTCAGTCTGCTTTATTCTTAGTCTTATATTGCATCTTTCTGTGATTATCAAAGCTGAGCAGCAGCCTAAATAAACTCCCWTCATCAGAAAGCTGTATGGGGTGCGGAAGTCGAAGTGGTACAGTTCACTGTTAATCTGCCTTCATARCCCAAGCTGCAGCAGGCTGATCATAAACTGGTTTTTGACCGTGATATCGCTCTCAGTGGGGCCATAAAGTTCTCCTTCTCTCCCCTGTGCAGCAGGAGGACTTACTACAAAAGACCGGGTAGCATATTAATCATAAGAGGAGGAAGCTCATCACATCCCTCCATATCCTCCTGCTCACTCTTTGAAGCTGTCATGCAGCAAATTCAAATCAGAGTTAGTCTGTTTCTTCAGGTGGATAATGATGATGATGGTTCCCCTTTCCTGCCTACTCAGATTAGATCTTTATAATCTCGTAGTAAAGTGGGCAGAAGTTCCTGGCCTGGCTGAGATGAAAGGAGGGTGAATGCAAATGACGACCCGAGAGCCTTTTCATTCACATACATGTGAAGTATTTTGCGCCATCATACGCTGCGTGGTGGTGCTATTCAGCAACATGGAGAGGAATAAGGTCCATCGCTTCAATGTAATGAGGGAACATCTGACATCCTTGAACCAATCAAGAAAATGACTTCAAACCAATGCATCCTGTCTGTAAAAATATCAAAGCCTGCTGTGTATCCAAGCACAACGTCACATGAGCTAGACTAAATCAGTGTTCTTCATTTATTCTAGACAGAATCAGTTCAACGTGGGGACATAGTGGTGAAGTGTTTGTATACAAACCAGTAGCCTGTCACATGGTGCATAGCCATATGTAAGTCTGCATGAGCGTTAACCTTCTAGCACAAACTCCTTATCTTACAGACAAACTGATTGTTTTTGATCATTAGCTGAAGGCTGAGGTCCACACTTAGGCACGACTAGACTTTTCTGTGTTTTAAGAAATCCAACTTTTAAGGCTCAGAGGACGTYACCAATGAGATTTTGTGGTATAATCTCATAAAAAGTGCAACTATATCTGTATTTGCTTGTTTGTAAACTGCATCATTTCCCTTAAAAATATGTTGAGCTTTCTTAGAAACTTTGCTTTTGTTGATTCAAAGCTTGAGGGACCAAATTGTTTTGGAAAAAAAAAGATAATAATAAAAGTTAATGTTATTTTAGGCTTGTTTTACAATCTGTGAATAAATGAATGAAAGAAAAAATGGTTCTGGTGGGTTTTATTTTGTTTGATCATTTCGAAGGAATGGTGGTTGATCTAGGCGTGGGAGTGAATCCTAGACGAGGTTCTCTCTTGTGATCCTTGTTTCATTGTTACTTTGGTTCCTATTGATTTCTTGCCTCTTCTCATCACCTCCGCCAAATTAATTGGAGAGAAAAGCCAAAGCCCGTCTGGGATCAAAAAGGGAAACTTCTTAAATGTCTGCCTTCTTTATTACGGTATTCTGTATAATTCTCTGGCCTTTTAAAGTGAAGGTCTTAAACCAGTGGTTCCCTACCTCTTTTCCTCAAAGCCCCCTTTCTTCCTTCCAAGCCAAGCTGAGCCCACCCCCCAATCCTTTGCCACACCCCATCTCTACCAAAGATGTAACCTTTATCTCTCTCAAAATAATTAAAAACAAAGGAAATAAGTACAAACTTTTATTCTGAAAAGGGAAAAGTAGAACTGAGTTATACAAAGTTTTATATGGAAGAGGATTAGGGCCTCAGAGTAAAAGAAAATTCCTGAGTTCTGACTTTTTTCTCACAATTCTGACTTTAATCTCAAAATAAGCTGTTCCCCAGGCTGCCAAAAAATATTTCCTTTGTGTATATTATGTTCTTTTCTTGTATTATGAGATTCCATTTCATGTGTTTTTATCTGATCAGTTTCTCTCMGATATTAATTTCCTTAGGTTCAGATACTGATCTTTTTTTTTTTTTTTTGCTTTTGAACAAAAGCAATATCAACAATCATCTATTAACCTCTTGAGCCCCATGCCAAAACAAAYCAYRGTTTTCCATTTTCTATTTCTTTTAACTTCTGTTAACTTACCAGTCAAAGAAATAGAAAAGGGAAAATGCTGTTTGCCCCCGGTACCGAGGGTGTGGGACTCAAGAGGTAATTTATTTATTTTTTATTTATTCAAAAAAAATTATTCATTTCATTTAAAAATAAAACAAATGCTWTACATACAACAAATAATAAAACACAAATAAAATGAAAGGTAGCAGAAAGAAGAAAAAAATCTTACTGATATCTGCCCCTTTTTAAAACAAATAAATTGAAACAATTATAGTCTTCAAATAACAAAACATAAAAACTTTAACTCATTCTCGAACAACGGTTCTCATGAATGCACACTATACAAATTCATATCTCCAACAATTTAACTTTCACCATTCTCTTAAATAAAATTATTGAGCCAGCTTTTTTAATCACTTTCCAGATTGTTCCACAATCTTATTCCTTGGACTGAAGTACATCTGTCCTTCAAATTTGTTTGAATTTTGGGCTTTACAAACATCTCTAAACCCTTAGGGTTATAATTACTTACTCTCGTAACAAAATTTATTTGAATATTTAGAGGTAATAAATTTTTATGAGCTTTATACATAACCTGCAAAATATCATGATCAACCAACTCATAAAATTTCAATAATTTCAATTGACAAAAAAATAATGTATTTGACGGATGACTGTAATGTTTTCTAGTAATAAATCTTATGGCTCTTTTCTGTAAAATAAAGATGGGATTTGTAATTGTTTTACATGGTTTCCCCAGACTTCAATGCAGTAAATCAAGTGTGGAAAAATTATTGCATTATACAACATAAACAAAGCTTTGTCATTAAATAAGTCCCTTAGTTTATGCAATACTGCACTGGATTTGGCCATTTTTGTTCTTAAATTATATATGTGGGATTTCCATGTCGGCTTTTCATCAATAATACTACTCAAAAACTTCACCTCATTGACTCTACAGATTTCAACATCACCAATTTGAAATGGAAAATCAATAGCTCTGTTTCTATTACTGAATATCACATAATTAGTTTTATTCACATTTAATGATAATTTATTTAGTTTAAACCAAGTTTGTATTTTAACAAATTCTGTTTGCTATCATCCCCATCATTCGTTCTATATTTTTTCCTAAACAGAAAAATATAGTATCATCTGCAAATAATACACATTTAAGAAGCCCAGACACATTTACTAAATCATTCAGATATAAAAGAAATAACTTTGGTCCAAGTACAGAACCCTGAGGAACCCCATGTAATGTTGCAGAATTCAGATCTTACATCATTTACCTGCACAAACTGTTTCCTGTTTTCCGGATAACTAGATACCTACTGTAGTGCTGGACCTCTTATACCATATTTATTTAACTTTTCAAGAAGAATGGTGTGGTCAATGGTGTCAAAGGCTTTCTTTAAATCAACAAAAACACTAACACAATACTGTTTTTGGTCAACAGCTGTTGTTATTTGTTCAGTTAAGTCCATGAGAGCCATTGATGTAGAATTTTTAGCCTTAAAACCATATGAACTGTTACTTAATATATTTTGTTTATTAATAAATACATCTGATCTAGTCACAAATCATTTTTCCAAAATTTTTGAAAACTGTGGTAACAAGGAAATTGGACGATAATTTGTAAACAAACTTTTCTCTCCATTTTTATAGAGAGGGATTGCCTTGTCTTTCTTCATGT